AAATACATATAGCTCATTTACTTCAATAGTGTCATAACTCAAAAAAATCACACTCGAGAAAAGCGGCTTTATACACAGTGTATTACCACCAAGCCTAATGGAAAAAGAAGATTACAACTCTAAGGGCGTAATTCCACATATTAAGTACAAGCAAACAAAAGGATGAAGGCAAAACTTAAGAAATTAACTTTTCCGAGCACGTCATGTTAAAATTCTTGGAACTTTTCTGGCCTATAAACTGCCCAAAGCCCAAGTAAAATCTTCGGCTGTAGTAACATCTCGGCGCAAGCGGACTTAAAAGAGGCAACCCTGAGTGCTATGAAGTACACACATCACTTTTATGGATGTTTTTGATTATAGAAGGACGAATTAGGTAAAATAAAATATCATGCCAGAAAGACAGACAGCATTAGGAGCCTACCAATCACACGTTCCAACATTACCTTGTGGTAGGCTCCAGGACATGAGGGCTTTAATTGCAACGAATGACCTGAGATTATACGCAAAAATTCGAGCCCAAGAAAGAGCATCCGATACAGGAAAAATCTGCCAAGTAAGCGGATATGTTTTGACTCTCAGACAGCCATTAATGCTTTAACACAATTCGCTAAGCAATGATTCATTGGGCGTGTATGAAGCCTAGCAATAAAAGAGCAAAATATTTTTCATGTGTAAATATCTTAGCTGTTGACCTGGATAAAATTTGCGTTAACCCAGCAGGAAATCTCTAATTGCTTCTTGTGCGTACGAATGGAAATTTCTTAAATAGTTCAGAGCTATTTCAAGACCATTTCGGGGCCATTTCGGACCTGTTCTGTATTGTTTTAGAGCCATTTCCAAACTTTTCTGGATCATTTCAGGACTAGTTGGGGATCATTTTGGAGACCTGTTCAGTAGGGTGCCCATCGAAAATGCTTTTTTGGAAATTTCATGACCCTACCCCCTAATTTTATTCGGTTTTATGAGAAATATTATTGCCTATTTTTATAGATTTTTTAAAGGTCGTTTAGAGGTCGCGACCTGTCGATTTAGGCCAGAAAATAGGATTTTGCAGATATATGAGTTTTTAATAACTATTTTTGATTCGATTTCAAAGGTCGAATATGTTCTCAGAAGAGGATATGTATATAGTAGGCCTTTAAAACCGACCGATCTCGACCAAATTTGGTATACACATTGTGCATAGCCTCCTTAAGTACCTTCTTGAATATTTTTGAAATCGGACAAAATCTACTCCTCCTAAAGTATAGGTAGCTGTGAGTTTTTTGAAATTACCGTTACGTTGGTGGAGCCCATGGTTTTTGTCCGCTTTAAAAAATTTTCAATATTGCGCTTAAGAAGCCTAAGCACAATGTGTTTACCAAATTTGGTTGAGAGAAATAAAATAAATAAAATACGCATATATCATATAAATGGGCGGTACCAACCCCATTTTCCTAAAAACCACTTTTTCTTGAAAAACCACTTTTTGCTAAAAACCGATTGTATATATCAATTTCCAAAGGTCCATTTCGAAACTTTAATATTTGAGAACCATTTTGGGCCTAGTCCTGGACCATTTTGAGAGCAGTACAGGGCTAGTTTGGGATAATATTGGTAGTAGTTAAACAAAATTTTATGGACTAGTACAGAACTATTTAGGGACTAGCTCTGGATCATTTAGGACACTTTTCGGGACCATTTCCCGACTATCTCACGCCTATTTCGGGTTCATTGTGGGACTATTGCTGGACCATTTTCGACTAGTTCAAGACTTTATCAAGACTATTTATATATATTTTATATTCGCGTCTAGTTCAAGTTCATTTTGAGAATAGGTCAGGACAATTTCGGGATTAGTTCAGCACTACTTTAAGACGATTTCGCGACTAGTAGTGCAGGAATATTTCGTCACAAGTTCGGAACCATTTTGGGCCTAGTTTCAAGACATGTCCTCTTTCGGAACCAGTTGACTACTTTTTCAGGACCTCTTCAGGACTAATCCGGGACAATTTTATGATCATTCCACCACTTACCTTATCAAGCGATGCGCGAGGTACATGAATATTAACTTCACACACTTCCATAAGTCAGATTTGCGTATTTTCTCCATTGTACTGCTGTTCCGGAAGAAATGATATGTCTGCAGGAAGCCACTGAAAAAAATATAAAATATTTGGTAAATGTTACCTGAAATTATAGCGAACAATTAAGAAATGCAAAATTCCATACGACGAAACTGTACTTTTGAAAAAACAAGAAAAACCACCCCAACTTTTTTTAGTTTTCTATTCAAGCTAAAAAGCGTTTTCTAAAGGAAAATGAAAAAATTGACGATTGAAATTAAAAACTAGTCATGCATTTTTGGCAATTAAAAATGTAGACATAAAATATTTGTCAATAAAAAATTAGACATAAATTTTTTAAAAATTAAGACTAGACATTTGCTAATACGAAAGAAAGGCAGACATATTTTGTAAATAAAAAATGTAAAATGTAGACATAAATTTTTGACCTTTTTAAAAGAATACATAAATTTTTGGCCATTTAAAAATTTTGCATAAATTTGCTGGTTCAGTTTTATTTGTTCAGCTTCTAATGGAAAACGAAAAAAAAAGATTTGCTATTAAAATTAAAAGCTAAGCATGCATTTTTGGCAACTAAAAATGTAGACATACATTTTTTGTTTTTAAGAAACCGTACATTAAAAAAATAGACATACATTTTTTATCTTTTCAAAGGGAAACATAAAATTTTTTAAAAATTCAAAATAATTTTTTTCCTAAAAAGCTCTCTAAATCTCGCACCCATTAAAACCAACCTTATTGTGAAGAATAAATCCACGAAGACCTCAAAATTTCCCAAATCATTGGTGAATTTGAATTGTCCCGACTTATTGCTCGTCACCATAAAGGTAACCCAAAGCTGGTGATATAGAATCACACACATTGCACCATACCAACGCAAGCCATTCACTCCAGGAAATACAACATTTCCATCTATTACACCATCTTCACCAGCTGGAAATAGCAGTTCGAAATTGTTTAGCACATCAAAACAATCCAAATATCCTTTGCCAGTCATAGGTTCTGCACTCGGTTTAGGCTTCGCCACCGCAACACCCGCACTATTCTTCTTCTTTCGATCACCGTCAGCCACCATACCAGCAGTTTCATTATTTCTCCTCATGCGCCGCGATAAAGCCACGACTGTCAGTAGCAGCGTCAAGAACAAGCAAACAGATAAAATGATGAACGAAGGACGCGCTAAAGATCCCGGACGCATTTTAAGATCCTTAACGCTGTCTACACGTAGCCGCAAATAAAAATATCACTCTCTAAAAATATTTCATCCTCTACATAAATGTCGATTAGTTGGGCTATCTCGGAAAGTGTGCATGCGGTTGGCAGGCAAAGGCCGATAGAGACGCGTGGTTCATAGTATGGTAAAATTGGATCCATTTGCAAAGTAGAGTTATGCCAGAGATGGACGACACGAAAGTCACCGGGGAATGGTGCAATGTCTGTGATTAGTTTCGTATCCATTTTGTGTGGCAAATGTTTAGATATTTTGAGATTGACTGGCTGTTTAACGGCATCGCAACTCTCCCGGCTGCCCAGCCATAAGCCGTTGCCTAACACAAAGCCAGGCTCCCTGGAACCTGCAGCATCGTACACTGTAGAAGAGAAACAGAAAGGGGAAAATGAAAATAACAAACAAGTTGTGAATTGTTTTAGCTGTTTTTTGTTTAATATATGGGACACGCGAATCATATATTGTTTAGCTAAAGGAGGATGGGAGACCAGATTGGGAGTTGGGATCGTATTAAAGGAGGTCGACATAACCTTTTGCTTTGAGTTATTTATAGAGCTGAAGGTGGGACCTGTGCATGAATCCATGCATAGCTCCTGGTGGGGCTTGTAAGCCGTAGCTTACTGCCGGGTTCCAACATTACCCCGAGAGTAGAGTGTGGGCAAGTATCGTGCGATGTGTCAACAGCTCGGATTACCGCTACGTATTTAGATGCTGCAAAATCTGTAAGAAAGGCTAAGACAGCTTCTCATGTCCTTGTATACAAAGCAAGGATGCCTGATGATATTCATTAAGTAATTTAAATGATTCAGGCAGCTTCTTATTATTTGGCTCTACAACTGTTTCTAGGTTTTTGACCGAGACCAAAAATGTTCATCTCCTTTCGAAAATGCGCCAGTTGTTCATTTCAAGAGCAGACAAGTTCTGCATTATTGGATCCGTCCACCGTGTTCCAGGGCGCTCTTTATTTTTTTTTTTTAGTCCGTCCACGGAGGACGACTCAAAAGATCGTTTTCACTGTAGGTTTGTTATTTTTGTGTACAACATATTAAATTCAGCACAATCGTTGTATTTTTATCCGCTTAACTGTGTATGTCCATGTCATTCCATCTTTTAGGTAGTCGTCTCCTATTTGTTCGACATCGTCCATGTCGCTGCGCCATATCAAAGGACGGGCATGATGAGAGATTTGTATAGTGGAATTTTTTCTGTTCGTCCAGAGATAGCTCTGCATTCAATATCTTACCGAGCGCAAAGCAGCACCTGTGGGCAAAAGTTATTTTTCTTTTGATCTCGAGGCCAAATTTGTTGGTGGTGTTTATGCTGGATCCTATATACACAAAGTCCTTCATTACTTCGAAGTTATAACCGCCAACAGTAACGCATTTCTCCTTTTCTGTCCTCATTCACTACTACACCTACATTTTTCGCTTCTTTATCAAAGTTTGCTAAGCCAGCGGGAGAGTTAAATTTGCTTAAATGCTGAATGCTTCCGGACCACCTTCGGGCAGACAGACTTTAACATGAGGTCCATATATCAAGGAGTAGGGCATACGTAACCCTTTCTTCAAAATGGGAACACCCACCCTGGCGGAAACTTCCAGATTAAGCAAAAAAGCCTGCTCCCAGGAGACTAATCCTCAGTCTGTTAAGGGCCTAATACTCGCAAAGCATATGTCTCCTCTTTCGTTCTGCATCTCCTACAGATTTTATCATTGGCCAGAGCTAGTTTGAAGGCGTAGCCTCTTGAGGGGTAGGAGCGTATAATCCCCGATACTTTGCAACCTAATTTTTTGGTCCGCACCCTCTGCGCCTTTTGGATCATCCACTGGTCGAGCTCCGCTTTAACCTCCTGGACGGAAATCGGCATTTTCTCTACCATAATAGTTTTCGACAGAACACCTTTTTTGGTTATCCTTTCAGCCTCCTCGTTGTCCGAACCCAGTACAAATATAAGTACGTCTGTACGGGTACGTAGCAGATCCGAAGCTACTCTGCATTTCGCCATACTTATTGGAGAAGTGCCTTTATCGTAGCATAACTGTCGATAGAGAAATTCAGCTGTTTATCTGCTAGGAGAATAGCTTGGAAATGCTACAGTAGTCCGGCAGTTTATAAGATTTATTGAGACTGAGCTCCGCGCAGACAACTGCCACCCTAATCCTTTCGTCATCTTCGAGACGGCTTTTTAGAAATTCACCGAGCCTAGACCCTTCATGCCCTCACGTCAGTCTTCAACCTCTATAGGGTCTTCAAAGTTCATCCTGGATTGCGGATCCGTCAAATTAAATTCGATGCTACATTACTGTGTCCGCATTGCCAGCTTTTAAGCCTATATTCTAGGCCGATAGGTCAGATGACAAGAAATACATTAAGATGTGTGCCGTTGGGGTAGTCCTTATACACTTTCTATTATTTTATGAAATGAGCTCCAGGTGCAGCCCAGCACTGAGGACTTCTTCACCCTCTCCTTCACATTGAGGCGCCCTGACAGCTTGCTTACGAGTATTATTCTGATGTACTTAATACTATGCTTCAATTGGAGGAACACTCTATTCAGCTTAGGCTCGGACCAGTTCGAAACCTTATATTTCCTTGTGAAGAGCACCAGATATTTCTTTTCTGCGTTGATACTAAGCCCAACTTGGGTTACCCAAAGACGCATTTCCCGCAATCCTTAGCTCATAAGTGAGCTATGTGTGGACAGACAGTTTCCGCTTACTATGACAGAAATGTCAGCCTCATATGCAGAAAGTTCGACATTTTCTTAAGTACTCTTTTGACCACCAGTAACCAAATTAGTGACAATAATACGCCCCTTGCGGCTGCCTATTTTAATCGGTTTTGGTTGTCTCATGACTACCCCACTGCGCCGCAACACTTCCGCAACTCACCATACTGCTTATCCAGTATGAAATTACGGTAGAAACTTCTACCTTCGATACTCCGTCTAAATTTGATTGCCATGAGACATTGTTAAAAGCCCCAAATATGTATGTCCAGGAAGACCTCAATATCAAAATTTCGTTCTCTAGAACCATATGTATTCGTCTAACAACATTTATCTTCCCCTCCT